AATCAATGCGCTACTTAATTATGTGTTTAATTCCGTATTAATGTTGTAATTAATTTAGTCATTATTATGTTCGGCAGTTACCATTTGTAATCGCCTATAAAAGGCAATTCGAATTTCAAATACAGATATGATATTTCTGCCTAACTTTCCATATTCGTACTTTCCTGATTCTTGCTTGAGTGTCGTACGTAGCTTTTCTAAAAGCCTACGAACGTCCTATTTTGGACCAACAGTATTTATAGTGTAAGAGGAGTGTGTACACAAAACATTTTTGAAATTCTAAAGAGCTGCTCCGTATATGACTACTCCGTATATACGATCCATAAAGGAATCGACTATTTAAAAGCTCTATACCTTACGGTCCTATTTTGTTTTTATGTCCATGTGTGAGTAACCTTTATACTAGGGTTAGGTAAAAAAAAACGAACGCAACCAAATAAAATCGAACTGCTAAAAAACCGAAATCGAATTTAAAAACCTGAACCGAACCACATTTGTTTGGTTCAGTTTTAGTTTTTACCCTTCAAAATCAAACCGAGTCGAATAAACCAAACTAATTAAAATATGAAATTTATTTGTTAATTGTTAAGCATTAATCCTAATTAATCCCAATATCATCAATAGTCTTTGGTTTTCTTGTATTAGAGAATTAATTTTTGTGTTATGTTTAGTTTAGTGTAGTTTATAATTGCATTTGCACACGCATTATTGCATGTAATAATGTAGTTAGATTGACCTATTATGTCTTTTATGTAAGTATGTTGTAATTTGTTGCATGATGATGATATGTTGTTACTGGTTATAACTATTAATTACTCCGTGACTTTTATTTTTATGTAACTTGAAGTTTTTATATTGATAGAACAAATAAATATTCATCTCAACTATATCACATAAGACGTATATATTCGTGAATTTTTTTCAAACTAGTCACAAACAATGTAAATAGATATTGATTACCATGATGCAAACACAAGGAAATAGTTCCTTTCAAGACATATATTTCTTCTCAATTCTTATTTTATTTATTCTAGAATGTTTGCATTTTTGTGTAATATGTTTGATCCTTCCAACTACTATATCATTTTAAATAAAATGACATCTTTTTAGTAAAAAAACTGAAATACCCGAAACTAAACCGAAATAAACTGAACCAATCAAACCGTGATTCCGAGTTTTGAAATGTAAAACCGAATCGAAACCGAACCAAACTTTCTACTTTGGTTCTCTATTTGGTTTTTGGTCAAAACCGAACCGAAAGAACCGAAAGAACTGAAGCTACCCCTACTGTATACACCACTCCTAAAGTTACATCTTGTTGTGCATGACTCCTGAAGTTATTTGATAATACATAAAGTTACATCTTGTTATGCACGAATTACATCTTCATGTGACGAATTACATCTTCTTATGCGTGATTTACATCTTCATGTGCGCACGTTAGATTTTCATATATATGCATGAATTATATTTGGACTTGGTTAAGTGAGTTACGTTTGCATACACACGAGTTACATTCTCCATCAATATGATGATGATAGAAGACGACATAGGATGATGAAAATGAAAGATGGTTAACATGAGATGGTGGTGAACATGGAAGAAAACGAAAAAAGGTGAATGGATGAAGAGAGAACCGTATCATCAATTTCAAATTCAGCTAATTCAGTCAGAATTTCATTTAATTTCAACATGTTCAGTTGATTCGGTCAATATCAGTCTTACCAAACGACCTCTTAAAATTGGAATAGTAAAAATATGAGGAGTTTATAAAAGGGGAAATTACTATTAACTCCCTGAGGTTATGTCATAATAATTAATTTAACCTTGCATTTTCAAAAGCCAATTAGTTACCCTCTGGGTTTGGATCATTCTCACTCCTTGCCCCCTCATGTCGATACTTGTTAAATCAAATATAATATCTCTTAAATTCAATGAAAATTGTCGATAAATTAATTTTTAAAGTAAGACACAAATTATTATCATAATAATAAGTCATTGTTGTTGATTGTTATTTTTCTACCTAGCTACAGATATTATTGAGAGTATCGAAGGGGAAATACTCACGAGTAAGATATAAAATGTCATGAATTTTAATATCTTTAATTTAAAAAAGTAAATACTCTGTATCATTTAATTTTATAAAACTAATTAACTTTTAGTGTAAAAAAAAATTGTGCAGATAAAATCTTCACAAATTAGTAACAGAGTTGATAAAAAATTTAAATAAATTAAAATCTATGATATTTTAGCCTTTTAGATCTTAATTGATAACTTTCAATTATTAAAGTTATATATCGACGCATTATATTATACGAAGTATCTTTTAGGTCCCTTATTGATACAAGACATGTCCTTTAGGTCATGAAATGATCAAATTCATTTTTTCTTGGTATTTATTCTTTGCTACACACGAAAGAAATGTCACTGATTAATTCAATCAGATGAATTACAAATAAGACTTTTATATTCATTATGAAGAAGTGCCTAGAATTTTGATAACACATTTTTTAAACAACTTTCTTTGATGTATCTCATGGAAATTACTCGTGAGTCTTCCCGTTAACCACTCTCATTAATAGTTATTCCACGATCAGGTAGCTAAGTAGTAAATAATGACCAACAACAATGATTTATAAGTATGACAAATATTAACGTGAGGGGGGCATATAGTGAGAATGATCAAAACTTAGGGGATAACTAATTGATTTTTGAATATGCAAGGTCACATTAATAATTATGACATAACCTCAGGGGGCTAATAGTAAAATTTCCTTTTATAAAATGTTTAAAATGTGTACAATTGTACAAACATCATCTTTCTTTTTTTAATTTTTTTGAGAAACTTTTTGTAACTATTAAACGTATATCATTTTCAAATTTATATACACACTATTAAGGGCTAGTGCTCCATATACTCTTTATAAATAGTACTCCCTTCATCCCATTTTAACTAGTCATCTTTGACTTTTTCAGTCAAAGATGCTAGATTTTGACCGATGATATATTTATGTACGAAAAAATTTAAAATATAAGAATGATATGAAAAATGTTAAAAATACTATCATAAATGTACTATTGAGATAAATCCAACATAAAATAGTAAATAAATATATAAACTGTACAAATATGTATGAACACTTAGTTTTACGTGGAAACCCAAAGAGAGAAAACCATGAGACTTTTTGGACGAATGTCCACACTACTCTCATATTATTAATGATCTCCTCACCATTTTGGTACAAGTATCAAGCTCCATAAGCAATTAATGGAGCTCTAAGCTCAAAGAGAGAAGGGAGGAGGTGAAGAAAAAGAAGACTAGATAGGGAGAGAAAAAGGGAATCCCAAAATATGGAGGAAACCCTTCTATTTATAGGGAAAGGGGGAAGGTGTGTGTGCAAAAGCTATCCTAATGGGCCGCAAGGGCCAAGATGGGCTGAATCGGGCCTAAAATGGGTCAGGTGGGATGAAATGGGCTTCACGGATTGGGTTGTGTATGAGGATAATACATTGGACTCTTAGACAGTAATACACTGTGATAATATATCTCAACAAGTATAAAAGTTATAATTTTCATTAAAATATACTACCTCCGTAACATTAATATCTTCCTACTTATAAAGTATGTGAGATTATGAATAGTGAATAGGGATATAAATCATTGAAGCTATGATGAGAAAATAATGGAATAGTTTGATAGAATGAAAGATAAATCCAAAAAAAGTAGTTGTCATAGTATATTACTATATTATTATATTCCAAATTATTGAGGGTATGATGAGAAAATTTAAAATAGAAAGATTATTTGGTTACGGTTGAGAAAAGAAAGTGAAAAGATCTTTTTGATATGGTGGTAGTAAGTGTTAAAATGATTAATATCAATTACCCCATATAGGAGTAAACTGGATCGAAATTCAAAAATAGGACCTCTTATAATGTTATTCTCATCTCATGTTATTCTCTCATTATCCTCTTCTTTGCATATGCTCTTCTCCCCTTCAATCAACTTCACCTTACACCGTTGACTCCACCGCACCGCCTTTGACTCCACCGCCCTCCTATTCTCCCATCCAAACCTGCAGATCTATTCATCGCCGTCGTTGAATCTGACTCCACTGACACCACCGTCGGTCGGGTTCCTTCTCCTTCTCCCTCTCCTTCTCTTTCTCTTTCTCTTTCTCTTTCTCCTTCTTTTTCTAATTGTTTATATTGATTTTGTTGATTTTCAAACTACTATTTCGTATTTTCAATTTTATATTTCTTACTTTTTTAATACAAAATTTGACTTTCTGAATCTTTGGATGATGACATAAGATTTTGTCACGTTTATGACACAAATGTGCGCACTGACAACCGTTTATCGAAAAAAGATTTTGTGTAAATCCACTTTTCTAATTTTGTGTCACTAGTTTCATATTTCTGATTTGTGATTGTGTTAAAGTGTTTATTCCTAAAAAAAGCTTTTTTTTGAATAGTTGGTTGTTTGTTGGCTTCATATTTTTGCTAAATTTATGACAATTTTGCGTTATTCTTTCAATATAGATTTGCCACTTTTTGGCAGATTTGAAATTTTGAAGTAATGGTAGATTTTAAATTATCTTGAAAGCTAAATCGGTCAACTTGATGGCAAATTTATAGTGCCGGTATTTGTGGCGGTGACGGTGATGATCAGAGGTGTAGTGAGGCGACGCTGGCCATAATCGGCGGCGATGATGAGAAAGAATGATAGTGCTGGTTGGGGTGATGCCGGTGTGGATGAGGACAGATGGCGGCACCATCGTGGGAGGCGACGAAACAGTGACAACATCGGCGATGGCAGTGGACGACATCGTAGCGTGACGGAGGTGCTGACAGTGCTGCTTCATGTTGCTGTTTCAAAAAGATTTAAATTTTAATTTTTAATTAAAAATGGAAATAAAATGTGATTAGAGCATATTTGTACAAGTAAGTGATTATAAGTCCTATCAAACATTGGTCCCATTTTCAGTTCTATTTGTGCATAGGGATCTAATTTTAGTTGTAAATATGTAAATTAAGCGAATGATTAACCAAAATTTATGGTCAAAAGACATGCATGCGTAATTGGCTAATTGCGTTTACGCATTTTTCTTGTTCTTCTTCTTCAGCAGCACGTCTCTCTCATTTTCATGTGTGAGTTTACATCTACTTTTCTTTTTTCACATTTGACCAAATCCATTTCACCATTCGTATCGCATATACATATACTCAACAAGCGGTCTTTTTATAAATTTCTATCAAAATTATTTGCTAATTGAGTTTTCAAAACTAACAGAAAGCTAGATACATACTTAACAGCTTTGTACAGATCTCTTACATAGTTTACTCCTAAGAATTGATCTTTGTAATTGTATAAGAATTTGAAGAAAAATGGTTGCCTGGAGTTGCTGTAGTGGGATTTCAGGTATGGAGCCAAGTTATAGTAAATTCGTCAGCTACAGTAGTTCAATCTTAGGGTACCCATTTGAGAGATGCAATCGCCAGGTTGTGGTCAGTTTTTCAAAACCACAGCCAAAGTTAGGGAAATTGCACACAATGGGTGGTGGTAAGTGCAACCACAGGGCAGACACGATAACAAGATTAATCTATTTGAATCGGTGTGCTTTTTGTGGATCCGATTCAAATGTGGATCAACCCGGCTTTTTTTCGGGTATTTGGTTAGGTAGGAGAAATATGTCTTTACCTGTTGTTCCTATGGTTGCCTCTGATATGAGGAGTCATTTGACTACCTCTGTAGAAGCTCAAGTTAGTGAGAAGAGCTTCTATATTCAAGGGGGTATGAATTTACAGCCTCTGCTGATTGTAAAAAAAGAAACACAGGAAGATGGGAAGAATGTAGGGATAAATGATGATGAGTCAACTGTAAATAATAATGATGTGAATGAGTCAAGCATTTTAAAATTGACCCATGAGAGCGTGAGTGAGGTAGAACAAGAAGCGTGGAAGCTGCTCAAGGGTGCTGTTGTAAACTATTGTGGGTATCCTGTGGGAACTGTTGCAGCAAATGATCCAGCAGGCAAGCTGCCACCACTGAACTATGACCAAGTTTTCATTCGCGATTTCGTACCATCAGCTCTTGCTTTCTTGCTTAATGGAGAAGGGGATATTGTTAAGAATTTCCTGCTCCATACCCTACAGCTGCAGGTAAGAAATTGTATTTTGTTCAACTAGTTTTCTAATACTTCCTCCGTCCCGAATTGATTGGAATATGCAGTTTTTAAAATTGACTGACGATAAAGTTAAACCATCCTTGCAAATAATTAAAATAGTTTAATTTTATAAATTTATATATTTTGGAACTATATTGAATTTTTCTTTAGTCGCAAAAATCCAAATTATAATAGAATTAAAGTCGCAGTTCATTTGTTTCATTTATTTTATTAAATTAGGCCTAGTTCACCCTGAAAAATCGAGATATAACGGGTTACCCAGACCCTGAGTAGTAAATAAATAAAAACATAACTGGACCATGCCACATTAACTTTGGCCTAACTCACCAAAAAAGGATCCTGAAGAAGTGAAATTGACCTCACAGGCTCACACACATATATTTGATATAGATAACATCTGATGTGAAACATTTTAAATTTTCTCTCTCTGCTCATAGGTAATGGACTTAGTTATTTATAGTGAATTAGTGATCAATTTGGTGTTTACCAGATTGTAGGCTAGTTTGCAGTTTTCAAAGTCAGGTAGGTTATTAAACTGGAAATGACTGTTCAGGCTCTCAACTTATTTGTCTTCTGTAGTTTTCTTTTTAACAAGAGCCTACTAAATCTGGACTGATTATAAATTGATTAGAATGCACAGTGCTCTAAAGAAACAACATTCTTTTTTCCATAGTTACTCTTTAAGAACTATTATTGTTTCCTCCCTTGAAGTTTATTTCACCATAACCAACCAGAACAGTGAGGGATTAGAGAGCTGCTTTATATATGTTAAATGATGGTAAGCTCTTAGTTGGCTTCTGCAGTTTAAATGTCTAAATTTGATTATCTTCTTGCTTTATAGAGTTGGGAAAAAACTGTTGATTTCTATAGCCCGGGACATGGGTTAATGCCTGCAAGTTTTAAAGTGAGATCCACACCCGTTGTTGGAAAAGATAGTGAATTCGTGGATGGTCTGGACCCAGAACTTGATGAATGTGCTATTGGGAGAGTTGCTCCTGTTGACTCTGGTCAGGCTGCAATTTCATACTGCTTCCATCCCACAAAGATTTTCCATATGTGACTTTTATGGTAAAAAATATTAGACTTTGACCGATGTCTTTAATCGACATACTTTAGTGAGAATTGGCCTTTTCCCATGAATATTACTAAATTAAATCCAAAAGACAAAAATATGACTTATTTTAAATTTTTCCAAAAAAGTGACATGTTCAGTGACTAGTTCACTGAAATACATTATAGTGACTTTTGTCTAGTTACTTATACACAGTGACTAGTCATATTTTTGTCTAGGAAAACTTGGTTAGTAATATACATGTCATTTAATCGTGAGAATTACTCAGATTTTTTACTTTCATGGGAGTATTTTTAACAAAGATTTTTTTATATTACTTTCATATTATAAATCTTATGGGGCTAAGGCTTGGATGTTGTTGTTGTTGTTGTTGTACTTTCATATTATAAATCATTTAGTCTAAAAATATAATATTAATCAAAGTTTGACATCTTTGACCAAACTAATCAAATATGGCAACTATTTGTGGTATGGAGGTAACATATGTGTCATTATCTTAATTCCAGCATCACTTCTTCTGGAATACATAGTATTGTATGTTTCATGTACTTCTGCAATCATAATTCAAGTTCTTTATTAATTAGTCTCCTCATTTTTATTTTACACAAACTGAGCAGGGTTGTGGTGGATTATACTGTTACGAGCTTATGTAAAGATTACAGGTGATTATTCCCTACAAGAGAGGGTTGATGTACAGACAGGGATTAAACTGATGCTTAATTTCTGCTTACGGGATGGTTTTAACATGTTTCCTACACTCTTGGTCACTGATGGTTCTTGCATGGTTGATAGAAGGATGGGGATTCATGGTCATCCACTTGAAATCCAGGTAACTGAGAGTACGCTTGAAAATATTTTTGTCCATTACCAGAAGCTATTTTGGCTCAAGCACATTAGAAAGATAATTTCTTCATGTTGGGGGTAGCTAGCCAAACACACAGACATTCGACTAAAAGGTGTGGTGGGAGCATTTTCATTCATTTTTTGATCTGATTTTTTTCCCGATCTTTTCAACACTTCTAAAAAGACTAGTTATGTGTTCCCTGACCTAATTCACTGCTTCATATGATTTAAGTGCACACAAGATTGCTTATTAGTAATCTACCCAGCAGACTTGTCAATTGGTTATCACTTATCAGAAATCTACTCTAGCAGACTTGTCAATTTCTCAGATGTTTTTTTGCCTTTCACTTATCAGTGTCATTGTTGTCATGCTCCTTTTTGTGAGATAAAATTTAGGATTAAGTTGGAGCCACTCAAGTGCTCAACTGAACCATAAGGTACTTTGGTCAAACCACACTAAACATCGAGTCTGATTGTTCCCAAGGGCTTGTTAACATATAGTGCACGGAAAATCTTGGAAAGGAGACATCGATCACTAACATGTGTTTGATCTGATTTTTCTCGCGTTCTTTTCAACGCTTCTAAAAAGACTAGTTATGTGTTCGATGACCTAATTCAACACTTCTAAGGTCAGCGTTTTTTAACTCTGCGGGAACTCTTATGAAACTCCCCCTAACACATCCTTTTCCTTGCAACTCAGTTATTAACTCATTGTTCTCTCTTTAATTTTCTCTTTGGATTCTAAAGTTGTGCATGTTGGTTTTAACATATCAATCATGTTATGGTCAGCTTATGATATCATCCATGTAATTGGAACAGAAAACCTGTGACAATGATGGTTTTTAGAATTGCATCCCGTTATTCTTGCAACAAAAGGGAACATAGTGTAAAGAATCCCAGTGATTTTGTGCACAAATCTATAGAGTTCACAATTTTCTTATAATTAATCGAATCCGTATATTTAATGCGACCCACCACAGCGTAGATGAAATTAAGGTGATGGTGATGAGTATGTATGTGCGATATTATCCAGGCCTTATTTTACTCAGCTTTGCGTTGTACTCGTGAGATGCTGATTGTGAATGACTCAACCAAAAGAATGGTTGCAGACATCAATAACCGGCTCAGTGCACTATTATTCCATATAAGAGAGTACTATTGGCTGGACAAGAAGAAAATTAATGAAATATATCGCTACAAGACTGAAGAATATTCCATGGATGCTATCAACAAATTCAACATCTATCCAGATCAGATTCCTTCATGGATCCTAAATTGGATTCCAGAAACTGGAGGATATCTTGCTGGCAACCTACAGCCTGCTCACATGGATTTTCGTTTTTTCACACTTGGAAACCTTTGGGCTGTCATTTCATCATTGGGCGCGCCCGATCAGAATGAATCTGTTTTGAATTTTATCGTAGAGAAATGGGATGATCTTGTGGCACAAATGCCTCTAAAGATATGTTATCCAGCTTTAGATGGTGAAGATTGGCGAATAACAACTGGAAGTGACCCTAAGAATACGTGAGACTTTTTTTTATTTATAGAAGATTAGATAATGTGAGTGCTTATTTATGTTAAGTGTTTTCGTTTGCAGCCCATGGTCATATCACAATGGGGGGTCTTGGCCAACCCTTCTTTGGCAGGTATTGCTAAACTACGGTACTACGTTTCTTCTATATTTTTCATCATAAATCGATGCATTGTTAAACAATATATGATTCAACCTTCGTCCCAAAAAACTCATGTCTTTAATACATTTGTAACTTCTAAACCAATATTGTTGGGCCGCCAGCATTCCAATTCCATGCATGGTGCTAGCTGCTTTACTTTAAGGAATAAGATTTATGCTTTCATGAAAAGAAATTAGTTTTGGAGTTTTGGGTAGCAGTAAACGCCTCTCAGGTCTTACAAATGGTATCAGAGGTTCAAAACCTATGGAAAGCAGCATCCACTTTAACGAATAAAGAGTTGTGTTTACTAAAGGCAATTGCTTTTACCGTAGAGGTCTAACAAATAGTAATTAGGGATGAATATATGATAAGCTAGAAAATTTTGAGGACGAATCTAAAAAGGGTCCATATGATGAGCTAGAAATTGAGTTTAGGTTTTACATTCTTAGTTGAGGATTTTTTGGTGTAGTGTAATATTTTAATGAGTTTATATAATCTTTAAAAACATAACTATGAAGAGACTATAGACTGGAGTCACTGGACATGGAGTAGGTAAGTAGGTTGATTAGTAAATGTGACTTGGTTATTATTGTAAAGACAGTAACTTGATTAATTGTATAGTAGTAGGAATTAATTCCACTGTTGGACATGGAGTAGGTAAGTAGGTTGATTAGTAAATGTGACTTGGTTATTATTGTAAAGACAGTAACTTGATTTATTGTATAGTAGTAGGAATTAATTCCACTGTTGGTCCTATAATTTTATGTCAATTCCACATTTAGTTCACGTCTTTCATTTTGTCCATTTTTTATACTTGGCTAATGTTTCTTGAACATTTGTGGTTCTTTTCCGGCGATTTTAAACCACCGGAAACATCGACGGGAGGACCATATATGGGCGAAAAACAATATAAGTACAAAAATGGTAGTATTAATAGTGTCAAAGTTGGCGGGCCTGTATTCGAGCCCAGTCTGGGCCTAAGCTATATATATATCCATGGTAGTATTAATTAAATAATGTGGGTGATGTATATTACATATGCATGTGTTACAGTTGACCCTAGCTTGCATTAAGATGGGAAAACCAGAAGTTGCAAGGAGAGCAGTAGGTGTGGCTGAAGAGAGGCTAAAGGTGGATAACTGGCCTGAATATTATGATACAAGGCATGGAAAATTCATAGGCAAACAAGCACGGTTGCATCAGACGTGGACAATTGCTGGCTACTTGACCTCAAAGATGCTTTTGAGGAATCCAGACATGGCGTCCTTGTTGGTATGGGATGAAGATTATCAACTCCTGCAAAATTGTGTTTGTGGGCTGAAAGGTAATGGCAGAAGAAGATAATGCTCTCCCTCTGGCCTTACAGCTTAAAGAACTGGTCACTGAATGTACTTCATTTCTGAGACGTTCTTTCATTATGAAGTTCTTGGACTTGCAATACATTTGTGTAAACTATAAAAACATACATTAATTGATATGTGACATCTACTGATGGAGCATTGGAGCATGTCATCTTATTTAGGAGTATCATTTTACATTAATCTTGTTTTGAAAAACCTTTTATCATTTAGAAATTGTCTTTAGCACAAAAGGTGGTTTTTCTATATAAAAGTACTATGTTTTCCGTAGTGTTATCCTGAAATCATAATGTTATACTCCGTAGTATGATTTCAAAGTGATTATACTCTTACATAATGCTCATACTTAGGAAGATTAGCTTATGTTTATTCTTAGAAAATGGTCAAACAGACCATCAAACTAACTTAAAAAGTGCAAACCACCCCTTAGAGCATCTCCACCGGGGATTTGTCTATTCTCTTACACACTCTTACACATGGGTCTCATTTTTATCTCACAAATTTTATGTATAGGACCTACATATCTTCATATTTATTTTAATTTTCATTTTTTATATCACTTTTAACCCACTTTTCATCCACTTTTGCTCCTCGATTCTCGTGTAAAGTCTATTTGTGGACATTGTCATAGACATTGTCTACGATTTACCTCTATCTCTTTCCATTTTATTTTTCATACACACCACTTTCTCTATATTAAATTAAAATAATCATCATATCTCTATCTCTCTCCTATGCCACGTTGAATAGACTTTACTCCAATCCATTACCCCATTGGAGATGCTCTTATATAGGAAGCTCTGCTTGTCCGTCGTCATTCGGGGTGGTTCCCGGTGAAATTTTTTGATGATTTTTTTTGAACATCTTCTTCATTAAGTCTAGTTTACTCATATCAAATTTCAGCTAAAAATTCAATCGGGAAGGCAATCAAATGAATTTTTGAAGATAACTGTTCAGTTAAACAACGTAGTACATTTCAGAAAATCATTTGACTGTCTTCCCGGTTGATTTTTTTCTGAAATTTAGTATGGGTAAACTAGACGTAATGAAGATGATGTTTAAAAAATTTCATCAATAAATTCCGCCGAGAACCGCCCCAAAGAACGACGGCCGGACAAAGCTTATACAAGGGGTGATTTGTACTTTTTAAGTTAGTTCGATGGCTCATTTGACCTTTTCCCATTCTTATTTTGGAAACTTTACCTTTTTTATTTAACCGGGGAGAGGTTATTAAAGACCCGAATCTACCTCTTCCCGGTCAGTCCAACAATGACCAAGGCTACTAGGCTAGCTTAGGTCATGTGGACCACAAATCCAACCAAGGTGCCCAAAGTTTTATACTTATAGAGGGGGAAAAATAATTTATTTATTTTTTTGAAAGGGGGGGAAATAATTAAGTTATTAATTTATCATATATATCTTCTTTCTTAACTTATTTTTCGAACGGAGGGGTATTTTGACTATTTTCTTGTCATTGAATAGACATGTCCCGCTTGTTGATAGTCTTTTACTGCAATTTTTTTATGTAAGTTTTACATAGAGTAAATTTATAAAGCAAAAAACATTTCCAATTTTGTTTTTTTTATATCAAAACTCATTCTTATTCGTGTCGTCATTTTTTCCGGACTCCATAATCATGTCCAAAGTTCTTAGTTATATTAAAAAAATGTCCAAATTTATTTTCGTTTAATGGTAGGCTTTTGGAAAGATTAGTCCGTTCCAAGCTTAACGAGATAAATCCTTTAAAAAAACTTAATGAGATAAATGAGTCTTCATACCGATTAGTCAAGCTAGTTACCTAAAGTCACTTAGAGGCTGTTTTTCAGATTATCAGGCTTATCATCCAATTATTTCACCAAACACGTAGTTTTTGTTTTCGCGCGCTGAATTGTGTAATAAGCAGAAAAGGTAAGGTTGAAGTTGCTTTTCTGGCTGTATTGACTGAAATTACTGTAGATGAACATTTTAGCTATTTTTACATATAATTTTTTCTTTATTTTGTTAATAAAATATAGATTAATTCAGGATCCGAAAGATAGATTAATTATCAATTCAGGACCCGAAAGATGAAACGTATCAGTATAGGTCCCGAATGATGGAAAACTATCAATTTAGGACCTAACGTTTCATAGGTTTTGATTTATTTAATTTTTTATTAATTCCATTACTAATTTTTGATAAACTTTTCTTCACAAAAGTTTATTAGTTTAATATAACGAAATAATATTTAAATTTTTTTAATAAAAATATTATGACAACTTAGGTCCTAGATTAATAGTTTTCAATCATTCAGGTCCTAAATCGATAGTTTTTCATCATTCGGGTCCTATATCAATGCATTTTATCTTTCAGGTCTCGAATTGATAATTAACCTATCTTTCAGGTCCTATATCGATGCATTTTATCTTTCAGGTCTCGAATTGATAATTAACCTATCTTTCGGGTCCTGAATTGATAAAATTTCTAAAATATATTTTAAAATTATTTTTTCTTAAATCAGCAAAATCAGCCAATGCAGCCACTTCAACCAGAACTTCATAAATTTCAGCAGAATCAACCAAATCAGCCGATTTTCGTGCTACCAAACGGACTCTTAATCTCACTTCTATCAAAATGGAACATATATTGTGTAATTGATACAATGTTTTTCAATATACTATCCATACTATATACTCCGTATATTTTGCATTTTATGTTTTATTTAATTAATGGTGTTACCTCTAGATCCATCAATCAAGCTTGTGTAACCCCACAATTTACTATTATACCTCTAGATCTGCTTTACATTGGAGATTTGGAGACTTGGAGTATGTATGTAATTTTCTTTAACGTGTACTAATCACGTAACTATAGAATGTTCAGTTTATGAGAATTTTAACTTTATTACTCTCATTTATTAGTATATTGTATGGAGTATTTATATCAATATAATACTCATTTCAATATGTGGTGTATATATTTGAAAAAGGTCATTTTTATTAAAAGATTAACACTTCATTATTTGAATACTATCATATGCATGATATACAGAGTGCGTACTAATTAAGTTTATTATCGATGTCAATGAGAAAATTATAATTTCGAATGTCATTCTAATCAGGATGTGAGCATTATTTTGAGCAAAATATTATTCTTCTTATAATACGTGTTGTTCAAACTATGAAGTTTAAATAGGGACAGAGTTAGTACTTAAAATAATTTTATTAATATAAAATAAAAGACAAACATTTTAAGAAAAATAATAAAACAATACTCTTAGTAAATCCATCCAATTCGGCAAGAAATTTATTTAAGACATATTTATTTTGATTATCATATAGTTAAAATCCATTTGATAATCCATATTCTCAACATTGTTAATTAATTTCTTGTTAAATGTTTAACTTTTGATTTCACACGCTAAATTATGTAATAATCAAAATAAGTAAAATTAGAATTATTTTATCACTGAATTAACTGAAGTTACTACTACATCCGTCGCATATTAATCTTCAAAATAGATTTTTCACATAGATTATGCCATTGGAATGACAATTGTGCAAAGGATGAAAAAATTACACTTCCTCCGTCTCTGAATAAACATCCCATTTTCTTATCGGTTCATCCCTTAAAAATGTGTCATTTCTTTATATGGTAAACAAAATAGTGCAAACTGTGTCAAACAGTGTCAAAACAATGCCAAATAATATCATTTTTTAAAATTGTGTTTAATTCAAAAGGGCACTTCTAAATAGGGATATGGGGAGTATAAATTAAGGGTTCTTTGAAATTGAATGAAATAGAAAATTATTTCGAGAGAGATTAAAAGAAAATAATGAAGTGAAGTTGAAATCGAAAAAGATAAAAGAGAGAACTATCAAATAAGCCCTCGAACTTTAAAAAAAAATGCAAAATAAGCTCTTTTATAAGAGGCTCTGTCCGGCCATCGACATTTGGGGCGGTTTCCGGTGGAATTTTTTGATGAATTTTTTTTAGTATCTTCTTCATTAAGTCTAGTTTATTCATACCAAATTTCAGCTAAAAATTCAATCGGGAAGGCAGTCAAATGAATTGTTGAAGATAACTGCGCAGTTAGACAACACAATATATTTCAGAAAATCATTTGACTGTCTTCTCGATTGAAGTTTTAGCTGCAATTTGGTATGGGTAAACTAGACTTAATTAAGAAGATGCTTAAAAAACTTCATCAAAAAATTGTACCGGAAACCGCCCCAAATGGCGACAGCCGGGCAAAGACTCCTGTAAAATGGCTTATTTGCACTTTTTATGAAAGTTTGAGGGTTTATTTGATAGTTCTCCCGATATAAAATCATTTTATTACAAGTAGGTTAACAAATGGGTGGTAGTTACAAAAGTCAAAAGGTGGACGTAGCTTCTCCTAAATGTCAACAAGTAGCATGAGGTATAATCATTGCTTGTGCATATGAATGTTCAGAGAATTGAGGGGAAGAAAAAGGAGTTACTTCAAATCTCCCTGGCCTGCACTGTTAATTCACACCCAGCACGCCAGGCCAACATATATGACCCATCCTTTTCAGTTTAATTATTTCTCTCCATTCAATTCCTAACTGCATTTTCAACTATACTATTTCCTTACCCAGCAGTCTCAATTTTTTGGGGTCAACTGACCGGGACGGAGTCTCACTCTCTATCTGTCAGATTTTAATTATAGTCCAATTTACATCATGTTTAACGTACCGTCCCATCGGTGTTGGGGACCCTCAATGATGGAGTGTCATCCTTTTTTTCTCAATTTTTTGGGGGGAAATGTTAGTTGTACACGTCAGTTTAAAGTGGTTTATACGTCGGTTTACACGTCAAATGTAATTGTAAATACAATTACAAAATGACGTGTAAACCGGTGTAAAACTCAGCATTTACAAGTAGCATAGTTGTTTTTTGGGTGTGCAGTGGGATTTAGATTTTACATTTTGAATGTTCAAAATTTTTACAATTAATTTTTACAACGATAAAGAATAATTACACTTAATTTAGTCATGTATACTTACATTTTTTAAATTTTCTAGTGTTAATGTAAACACTTTTGAATAATGAGGGCTCCCCCTATGTGTATGGACCTCTAAAATGAGAAGTAAAAAATGGAAAACAAGATATGTGAAAAATAGTTTAAAAACAGCATGTCTAGTGCTCATTTTTTACATTCCTTGTTTACATTTCTAATGGAATGTTGAAACAATGAAAATTTAACTGATACACATCCACTAACTACATACTCTGTATTGCATACTAATGTAAACAAAAGATCGAAAAATTAGTGAGAACTATCATTTATATCACGAAAAAGTCAATTAAGTCCTTGTACTTTTAAAAAAATCAATCAAATCCCCAAACTTTGTAAAAACGTTCAATTGAGTCTATTTGGGGGTTACTTAGCTTCCCATGTAGCAAGTCACCCGCTGACGTGGCACACATGTGGCAGCCACTCAGCAGTGACTTTGCTGACGGGCGTGCATGTGGTGGTCCATTCATCAATTTGCTAATGACGTGGCGCACATGTGGATCGTCATGTGTGCACCACGTCGGTTGGTGGCCTGCTGACATGGCAAGTAACCTGTAAATGAACTCAATTGAACGTTTTTACAAAATTCGTGGATTTGATTGATTTTTTTTAAAAGTACAAGAACATAATTAACTTTTTCGCGATGGTACGAGAACCAAATTGACAGTTTTTTCAAAAATTATTTATACTCACATTTTCCTTTATTGTCATGAAAATACTAATAATTCTAATTTTATCAGATATTTGAAAATACTAATTAACAATTCCAATTTTATTGATAAAGTCAAATAGTTTTCTTCTGACTTAGTTTTTTTATAAAAGGTGGCTTATATTGATATCACAGCATACAAATATGGGCTAAAAAGACAAAAAGATAGCTGCCAATTGTCGACCCTCAAATCATACTCAGAGTTAATCACTTCATCAGAAGCAAAACAACTTGTTGATTCATTAATGGGTGCCACTGAGCTAAAGACGATCACCGCAGATTTCCTATCACCCAAATCCAAGCTCATAGTCTTACAGTGCAACAAAAAACAAGCTGAACATAAATAAAAAAACTCAACATCATAAAACACAAGCGCAACAACAAGAAAATAAAAATTCTTCATAGTCTTCTAGAAATAAAAAACCATCCACCATCTCGATCCTCCTACTTGAGACTTTCCCTTGGGCGGGCTTAGACTTCTGAGCCCGCCTCCGCCCCGTTTCTTGGTTTGTGAACAACCATATTATCCCTACCTGGTCCACTCTGGTCCTATGCTTCCCATGTCCTTCTCTTCTGACACTTCCTCATTGCTTTCTAAATCCCCATCCTTAGTCGTGTTATCCTCTGTTCCAACTGTAGTTTCCTTCCAGCTTTGCCCTCCCGATCCGCCTCCCGTCTTGGAATTCTCTTTGGATGAATGACTCTGAGCTGCACGTACTAGAGGATCCCTCCACAAGCCACTTGTTTCCTCCTGTAGGACTAGTCTTCACCACCCCACCAGCTCTCAAACTAACTCCATACCTTTTTCTCCAATATCAGATTATCGTCGTAAGTCAGAGGACAAACATAATAGCATGTCCGATAATTCCACAAATGAAGCAAAAAATGGGCAACTTTTCATATTTGAAATCCACCCAATGCTCAATTCTTGATTTCTTAAGGGTTGTTCCTTTCTTCAGAGATTTACTCACATCCATACAAACCCTGACACACAAATAAGCTTCCCACTTTTCATCAAATTGATTGTCATCATATTTGACAAAACTGCCAATAAAATTATCAATTCTTCTAGCAGTACCTAGGTTCATCAAACTATAAGGAACATTATAGACTTGGACCCAGAATTCTGCCTCCTTAAGATCAATTTTGAGCGGACTATCCTCTGGTTTAACTTCTTTTAGTGACAACAAATTTCTTTCAAAAAACCACGGACCACCATCTAAGACATGATCCATACCCAACCTATGGTAAACGATAAAGAGATACATTTTCTTGCCAATTTCTTTTATAGAAACTCCTTTACCTGATCTCCATAGCAAAGCCATAAGACCCTTGAAGATCTGAAACTTGATCTTTTTATCCGTTAGCAAAGCGCCGACCACCGGAAAAGTTGGTCGAGTCTACTCCGCCGCAACCTCGTTGAAATCCTGCTCGTCCAGATCCAATTCACCTGCTTCCTCTACAATATCCATTTGTTTATACTGGTCCAAGATTGATTCCATCAATTTTCGTCGTTTCCAGCACCAAAACGCCGCCCCCTCTTTGTCGATCGTCCGCCTAAGGTAGAGAACAAGGAAGAAAACTCGCAACCCCCTGTACCAATCTTTCAACCGTCTGCAAAACTCCTACACCTAGTGTCGCTACTTGAATAACAAAAACGCGGCTCCTCGGCTTCTGCTGATAGCGGAAGATATACTCTAGCGGCGGAAAGCCCTAGAGATAATACGCCGACTTCACATGACCGACTTAGTTAGAAAAATAACTTTAATTCTTCTTACTTCAATTATTATTTAAATTATGGAGATTTCCCAAAATAAGAGTAAATGGAGTTTGAAATTCCAAAATATGACTACTATGTTTTTATTCCCGGAATAGGACTAACATGACAATATTTACTGTCATCTTGTAGGCGTGACTGCCAAATGGTTGCAGTACAGTGCATTTAACATGATAGTATTAATTATAATTAATGACAGTATTTTTCAATTATGACAGTATTTTTCAAACATGGCAGTAACAAGTCCTATTTTGGGAAGAAAAACATTTTAGTCCTATTTTGGAATTCCAAACCTCATTTACTTCTATTTTGGGTAATTAATTATCAAAGGAAGTAAAAAAAGTTTGATGTTTAGAAAAAATAGACGTGTAAAATTTACATGCGACTAAAATTAATACTCCCTCCATTCCTAAATAAACTTCCAACTTTCCTTTTTCGTCCGTTCCAATTAAAACTTCCACTTTCTCTTTTTGGTAAAGAATTTGTGGTTCACAACATTTCTTACACATTTCTCTCTCCTCTGCACAACTCTCCACCACACAATATCCACTATCTTAAACTTTGTGTCAAATCCATTTGGAAATTAAAATGGAAACGAAGGTAGTACAACAATTTCATGCAAAATGAGGAGTTCCTTGAAATTCTACGTTCCAAAAGATTGAATCCCCAACTTTAAGGCCTCTCACGTCCTGACCCGTCAAAACATTTAAAAAATTGTAAATCATGATGACTCAATTAGCTTAATAATGATAGATTTTGTATGCGTGTGTACTATAGATTCAATCCCCTACATAGGAAATGTAATCTCCACTCGCACGGGTAGCTCAGTTGATCGAGTGGTGGGAGATTTGGATCAATAGACCAAGGTTCGAATCCCCGCAGCGACCGGGTGGAGATCACAGAACCTGAAATAAGGTTGGGCCTCAGGTGCGCACATGTGTATGAGCCTACTGTCATTCTGCTGACTGAGTTATCCTGACTAACCTCCCCAACATCCTGTCGGATAGGGGTGAGGCTCATGAGGAGGTGAGAGATTCCACTTTTTGGATCAAAAAGGAAATGTAATCTCCACACTATCGGGATAGATTATTGAAATTCTAAACACCATAAATGAAAGTGAATAAAAGGGAGTAGATTGATCATGTGATCGAACTGTCACAGCATTTATTATGCTTCATTCGTGTTGAGTGCTCTCTATATTTTTTTTTGTCGAATTAGTCAACAGACATTATTATTATATGGTACCTTTTGTTTATTCGGTGACAGGGGCTCATGATTTTATTGCACGTACCATTTAATATGGAAAATTACTTTTGTACACGTTAAGTTTTACACGTCGTGTTACACGTATGTCAAATTGTCTTTGTACAGACAATTTGATCGATCACACAGACATATTGAGCGTCGATTTACGAAGAAAACCGATTTTCACACAGACAAAAATTAAAAAAATGTCTGTATCACAGACACTTTATGAAAAATCCAGGTTTAAAATGTCTGTGATACAGATAACTCTTGATATTTTGTCTGTATGGAAATCGATTTTCTTCATAAAACGCCGGTCAAATTGTCTGTCTAGCCAATCAAATTGTCTGTATACAGACAATTTGACCGGCATGTAACCCGGGGCGTAACCTGGCGTGTACACCGAGCCGAACTCTTTTAATATGTATACGTTCTTTTGTGCATAGCTTCATATACGCGTTTGTAAATAGACTTTTTATGTATAGCCTATTAAAATATATTTTATCGGTGAATAAATTATTAGAAATTGCTCTAAATACGAGTAAAAGCGCTTTGAAATTCCAAAATAGAAGTATCATATTTTTTATTCTTTGAATAGGAGTAATTTATCTAGTTTGGAAAAAATTCTATGTTTAAAAGCTTAATGCTAAACCTGGCTGAAAAAAATCCATGTTTAAAAATAGAAATTTTTTTGTTTTGATATTTGTGTGTTCAAAGTGTGGTCTTTTAGCAGATGAGAGCACAGCCTACAGTCAGTCCAAGCATGCATTATTAGACTCCTCGTCAGGCAAACCCCACATCCAAAGTATACTTCCAAACTATAATAAACAATTCATTGTTGGAAATATAATATATGTTGTCGCCTGGCGTAGACAAATGCCTAATAATCTGCCGCATAATCTCAACATTTGCTACTTTAATTTGATGATAAGAATGAAGACTGAATCACTACGCTATTTGGTTACTATACTAAACCGCATACGGTCTCTGCAAGTATCAGAGTCGTCACAGTCTCACTCTTTATCTGTAAGTTTGTGATTGAAGTTCAATTTATATTTATCTAACTGTGCGATCGATATTGGGAGGCCTCTGACATCATTTTTTTAAGAATGAAGACTGACTTTATCCCTTGTGTTAAGCCCTCCCTCGCTCTCTTTTTGTTCAAAAAAGCCTTTTGTACACACTCTTATACACACTTTTGTACACACATGTTTGTGAAATGTTATTTTTTTGTCTGTGAACATCGACTCGCAAACAATGTTTTGCACAAACAAAATATTATCTCTGAGCCGGATTCACAAACAAAAAAAAAGCTTCACAAACATGATGTATGAGGTGTGTACAAAGGTGTGTACATCAAGCAGTTTTGCTTTTTGTTTTTTCCTCGAGGAAATTAGTTAGTGTGCATTTACCTATTCAGGGGTAGATAGACATCATTCGAGCTAAAAATTGAATATCTATTTCAATCTTGTTCAAAAATCTGTTTTATTCATGTGTAAATTCAGCAAATTAAGAGTTTAAATTTTGAAGTTTACGTGCAATGCTTCACCTTTGAACCTTATAACCATTTTTCAGCTTATCAATAAATATTAATATGAGTTGTTAATTTTTTTTTCTGCACACTCCGTATTAAGAGCCCGTTTGGTGACCCTTCTTTCGGTTTATCAAGCTTATCAGTCAGCTTTTTCACCAAATACGTAACTTTTGATTTCGTGCACTGAATTTTGTAATAAGCACAAAAAGTAAGGTTGAAGTTACTTTTCTGGTTTTATTGGCTGAAGTTTATGTAGATGAATCAGTAGAATCATTTTAGTTATTTTTTCATATAATTTTTTATTTAATTTATTAATAACAAATATTTTATTTTATTTTTCATGAATCAGTAGAATCAGCCAATACAGCCACTTCAGCCAAAATTTCATAAATTTCAGCAGAATAAGCCAATTCAGCCACTTTTAGTGTTACCAACAGTTTACGTGCAATGCTTCACCTTTGAACCTTATAACCATTTTCAGCTTATCAATAAATATTAATATGAGTTGTGAATTTTTTTTCTGCACACTCCGTATTAAGAGCCCGTTTGGTGACCCTTTTTCGGTTTATCAGGCTTATCAGTCAGCTTTTTCACCAAACACGTAACTTTTGATTTCGTGCGCTGAATTTTGTAATAAGCACAAAAAGTAAGGTTGGAGTTACTTTTCTGGTTTTATTGGCTGAAGTTTATGTTGATGAATCAGTAGAATCATTTTAGTTATTTTTTCATATAATTTTTTATTCAATTTATTAATAACAAATATTTTAATTTTTTTCATGAATCAGTAGAATCAGCCAATATAGCCACTTCAGCCAAAATTTCATAAATTTCAGCAGAATAAGCCAATTCAGCCACTTTTAGCGTTACCAAACGGGTTCTAAATAATCAACAACATAAGATTGAAACTACTTTTACGATTTAGTCTTATGAATAAGACTTTTTAGCTTTTAAGGGTGTTTGGAATTGATTATGTTTGTGCTTTTTTTCAGAAGCACGAGTAGAATAATGATAAATTTTCCAGAAATTGGTCTCCCCAGCTTTGAAAAAACTACTTGTAAGAGCTTTTTGGAGCACCTAGAAATACTTCTACATTTTTACTCAAACACTTCAATATCTACTTCTGCTCCTTGAATGAGCAAAATTAGTTTTAAGAAGCAGATCCAAACACCATTTTGGGGGTGTTTGGAATTGATTCTGATTTTGCTTCTTTTTTAAAGTACAAGCAGAATCAGAATCAGTTTTCAGAAGCTGGTCACCCCCCAGCTTCTAAAAAACTGATTCTAGGAGTAAATTAGAGCACCAGAATCACTACTGCACTTTTATCCAAACACTCCAACTTCTGCTTCTGCTCCCTGAAGGAGCAGAAGCAGATTTAAGAATCAAATCCAAACACCCCCTTTATATGCACATTTTGAGAAATATGCAAATATGGTAGGATTTTCATTTTTGGTCAACTTTGTTTCACTTTTTCACATTTCAATATAAAATACTCCCTCCGTCCCAAAATTATTGTCCCGTTTGGTTTTTCACACATATTAAGAAAATGGCACTGTAGCAACACTGTTTGGCACTGTAGCGACACTATTTTGCACTGTTTGACACTGTTTGGTATAGATTTGTTTACCAAATAAGTGAGTTTTAGAAACGGGGCAATTATTTCGGGACGGACCGAAAAGGAAAGCGGGACAAAAATTTTGGGACGGAAGGAGTAGCAGATACTCTGTCACAGTTATCAATAAGAAAATATAAAAAAGTTTTTCATGTTAAATTATGCATTCTATTCTTCAAAGGTTTAAGGCCGAACAATTAATACATGTCATTAAGAAGATTGTGATTACTTGCATGAGTAATTTAACGGTCGTTGAGTGAGATAATTGAGATGAAGTTTCAGATACAGTCTCTATCAACGTTATGCGCACCAAATCCTAAAAAACTTTGTCACTTTCCTTTTAAAGCTATGAATTTGTGTTTCTGTTCATTTTCTCTCCTCTACACAAACCTCAATTTTCTAACTTCTCACCAAACATCAACTTGGCAAATTTAAGTGAGGCGAATGTTAATATTAAAAAGTGTATACAAATACCCCCCTCCATGTTCCTAATTTATCTCCCGAAGTACAAATGACACGAGGATTAAGAATGTTTTCTTTTGAATTCCTTTCATTCCCAGACCGGATTAGACCAGACCGAACTTAGATAAATCATATCAGA